TCCTCCTCCACTCCAGACTATAAAAGAGACTGCTTATGCCACACCCTTCTTGCAGAAGTTAACGCTTGGACTAAAGAGAAACTAACTTGGCAGGCTGGCCAGAATTTGTCTGAACTGCTGCCAAGGTTTGTTGGACTTCTTGCCAAGGTCCTTATCTGTTTGTTTACTTGGCTTTCAGCCACCGAGAGTCTGGACTTGCTATTAAAGGACATTCTCATTAAGCTTGTCTCGGCTTTCATTACTGGACGGAGGAGGGGGTCAGAACACATATTTATGCATTACTGAACAATCCATGCCTCACTGAGTCATTGTTTCAGAGGTATTTCCTTACTTAAACAGAGAAGCAGAATGACCAAGGGTAGGCAAAAAGCAGTGGGGGCAGAAACAACTTCCGATTACCTGCCATCTTCCCCACTGAATCTGGCAAGGACTCTAGCAGGAACCATCAGAAATTTCCCTTCCCTCTCCCCTCCTGTGCTACAGTTATTTTCTTGCTATATTGTAGAAAATAATCTGCATTACAATATAATGTAAAACAAAACTTTAATGCATGTGATTATCTATCTTATGGGAGTGCTTAACCCTTATAAAAAAGCTAGTTTAACAAGGTGCTTCAATCCAACATATTGATACAACATTTAGTACGCCTTATTGGGTGAAAAGGGAAGTATAGAGACCTAGAACAGATTATTTAACTCTAACAACCCCCCTACAAAAAAATTGCCCCCATTTACAAACTCCTTACCTTCCCATATACAAAACAAAAGAGAGTGATACCCATCGCCCAGACATCTAGAGCCTGAAAGGAAAAAAAACCCATTTAATTAATGTATTAATTTTTATCCAATGTTTTTACATTTTTTACTTCTCAGTGTATTTCATGGTCTGGTACTGTATGCTGGTTTGAGGATTTTCCCTCTCTTGAGTATGTTTTTTCTAAAAGTTTTTGTTTGCTTGCTTGCTTGTACTTCTGCTAACCTTGGAGTTTCCCTGAGAGGTGGAGGTAATTCCTTCTCACATGTGGACAACGCCATTTTTGGCTGGATAAATATTGGTCCTCATAAGCTGAACATCAGAAGTAAAGGCAGGGGTGGGCTGCTGGGGGTTCACATGGGTTCGGGCAACCCTCTAGCTAGGATTCTGTCCAGTTCGGCAGACCCCCAAATGACATCCCTGGCTGGCCACGCCCACCCCTCCCTGGAGTCTCCATGTGGCCCGTTCTTCATGCCAGGTAAGTGTAGGGCCCGCGCGGAGGCTTGGGGAGGAGGGAAAATGGGCCTACTGGAGGTTTCGGAAGTCCAGAAATGGGCCTGTTTCCAGCCTCTGGAGGGTCTCTGGAGCCTGGGATAAGCAGTTTTTGCCCTCCCAGAGGCTCAAGGAAAGTCTCTGGAGCCTGAGGAGGGCAAAAAACATCCCCCCCCCCAGCCATGGTGTAGGAGGCTGACTAGGCCACACCCACCATGGCCACACCCACCCAACAATGGGGCAGAGAACCTGTTGCTGCAATCTTTGAATCCCGCCCGAGTAAAGGTAATGATTTGCAGGTCTGATACTGCATACCATAGAAGATGGATATGTTTATACAGCTTCTGAAACGCTCACAACTTTCCCATAAAAATCAAGAGAAATGAGGTCTTATATAAATAATAGTGTAGGGCAGGGGTGGCCAACCTTGGTAACTTTAAGACCTGTGGACTTCAACTCCCAGAATTCCCCAGCCAGGCATGCTGTCTGGGGAAAAATTCTCAGAGTTGAAGTCCACAAGTCTTAAAGTTGCCAAGGTTGGACCCTTCTGATGTAGGGCGAACAGTAGAGTGAAGAATATATTGTTATTGGGTTAGGAATATTTATTTCTCATGATTTTAATGTTTTTAAGTTGTCCAGCGTCACCTTGAAATGAGATCTCCAACAAATAAATGTAATTAATAACAGTCACACAACCCTCCAATTGAAACTGCACGCTAAAGCAATATAGAAAAACCAAGGATTCTACCTTTCCACTGAAGCTCTTTCCAGAATCTGAAATAGTTTCAGGGGCCATGAAGGCTGGGGTCCCAGCAGTGCTGGAGAGCTGGGCATCACTGCCTTCAAACTGATTGCTCACTCCAAAATCAGCAATTTTGACATGTCCATCATCCCCCAAGAGCAAGTTTGATGGTTTGATGTCTCGGTGAATGATCTTCTGATAATGCACTGCAAAGGCAAAAGAGAAAACATAATGTCCAATGGTGGCTGAAGGAGTAACTATTTCCATTCCAATGGTGTCCAATGGTGGCTAATGGACTAACTACTTCCATTCGATATGATCTTATAAGAATTCCAAAAAGGATGGTTGCTGTCTAAACTCTTCTTTGTTGATTGTTTGTCTCTCTTGATCTTGGATTTCTAAACTTTCTAGCAACAAAGATAGCCCTATAGCCGGGATGGTGAACCTATGGCACGCATGCCACAGGTGGCACGTGGAGCCATTTGTCAGGGAACACGAGGCCAGCTGACTTCAGCCTTTTCTGAGGCCATTTTTCACCCTCCCCAGGCTCCAGAGGCTTTATAGGAGCCTGGGGAGGGCAAAAACAGCCCCCCCCCACTCCAGAGGCTTCAGGAGCTTCCCTGAAGCCTCCGGAGTGCAAAAAATCGGCCCTATGAGCAAACTGGAAGTTCGGGGGACGGACTTCCAGTTTTAGCCCTCCAGAGCCTTCAGGGGCCTTCCAGAGGCTTCCCTGAAGGCTCTGGAGGGCAAAAAACTACCCTACGAGGAAACTGGAAGTCATTTCCTGTTTGCCCGTAGGGCCGGTATTTTGCACTCTGGAGGCTTCAGGGAAGGCTCCTATAAAGCCTCTGGAGCCTGTGGAGGGTGAAAAAAGCCTGAAAAAATGGGGGGGGGGGAAATGATGGTCATGCCCACATGCGTGCTGGGGTCGCACATTACATTATGGATGTAGGAAACCCACACACGACCCCCCTGCGCTCCCCATGCTTTTGGCACACGAGCCAAAAAGGTTCACCGTCACTGCCCCATAGGCTCTATGAAAAGTCAAAACTGTTCTAGGACAGTACACCGTATTTTTCGGAATATAAGATGCACTGGATATAAGACGCACCAAGGTTTTGAAGAGGCAAATTTTTAAAAAAAGTTTTTGCACTCTGCAGACGTCCCAAAAATGGGCCCGTTTTTTTAAAAAAATTTTTTAAAAAAACGGGCCCATTTTTGGGACGTCTGCAGAGTGCAAAAACTTTTTTTAAAAATTTGCCTCTTCAAAACCTTGGTGCGTCTTATATCCAGTGCATCTTATATTCCGAAAAATACGGTGTACTGTCCTAGAACAGTTTTGACTTTTCATAGAGCCTATGGGGCAGTGACGGTG